CACACGCCATTTATGCAGCTTTTAAGCTTTATTACTATTAATTCAATTCATTTTGCAATTACTGACTTGTCAAGCACTCACTTCTAACTTAAAACTCATACATATATTCATGAATATATCTAAAACAAAAATACCTACATAACATAACCACCTTTAACCAAATACATGAATACTGAATCAAATACATTTTACTACAATTTATAAATGGCTTTTATAAAACTAAAAAGATAAGTGTTAATACCGCCGTTTAGCTTTTTTTACAAAAAGCTTTGCTTTATTTAAAGCTTTTTATTGAAAAAATCATTTCCTAAAAGCTTTTTACTGCAATTTTTTAACAATTTATTCTAACATTTTACTTGGTATTTTTTTAATTGTACATTATTTAACATTTGTATGAAAAATTATAAATTTTACTTTAAAAGCTTTCGATGAAAGCCCAGGAGCTTTTACACTCTTCAAATTCACAATTGATTAAATGTAATTTAAGTATCACGAATAACTACCCTTTAGGCATTTAATTTATGTCGCTACTTTGCAGAATTAAGGCAAACTACAGAAACATTGCTTTCCTTAAAATTTAAGAGCTTTTTATGTACCTGCATCTATTCTGGGATCTTAAGACGCTTTCACAGCCATTCACAATTAGGTGTATAGTGCTTAATACATACTTGCCAGGGCCCCTTTCAGTCAATAAAAAAAAATGGTGCAGGATGCCTTCCCCCTACCATAAATAATTGAAATCTTTGAGAATGCCTATTTTAGGTATGCAGTAAGCTTTTGAAAAAACTTTTTCATATTTTAGTCATTAATATTATAGGACTAGTTTTCAATTATCTATAATTTGTTATATTTTTGTTAAGTCGACCCTTGCAGTTCGATTATTTTACATTTAATCAAAAGAAGAGGATTGCTTCAAAGTGTTGAATTACAATGGGAAAAACATCTAGCAAATGTAAGATTATTCGATTTAGATCTCAAACAAAAAGTCCAACTTGGGCTAGCTCCGAAAGTGCCTATTCTCTATTCCCGAAAGCTCTTGGAAGTGAAAAATAAGTAAGAAACAAGTGGTTCGAACTTTAAGCTGGCGAAAACTAAGAAGCCGAATATCATATGTTGAGATGATGCTACGGCATCATACTCCATACAGCCGGCTTAAGGTGATGTCGAGCTTTNTCACAATTAGGTGTATAGTGCTTAATACATACTTGCCAGGGCCCCTTTCAGTCAATAAAAAAAAATGGTGCAGGATGCCTTCCCCCTACCATAAATAATTGAAATCTTTGAGAATGCCTATTTTAGGTATGCAGTAAGCTTTTGAAAAAACATTTTCATATTTTAGTCATTAATATTATGGGACTAATTTTCAATTATCTATAATTTTTTATATTTTTGTTAAGTCGACCCTTGCAGTTCGATTATTTTACATTTAATCAAAAGAAGAGGATTGCTTCAAAGTGTTGAATTACAATGGGAAAAACATCTAGCAAATGTAAGATTATTCGATTTAGATCTCAAACAAAAAGTCCAACTTGGGCTAGCTCCGAAAGTGCCTATTCTCTATTCCCGAAAGCTCTTGGAAGTGAAAAATAAGTAAGAAACAAGTGGTTCGAACTTTAAGCTGGCGAAAACTAAGAAGCCGAATATCATATGTTGAGATGATGCTACGGCATCATACTCCATACAGCCGGCTTAAGGTGATGTCGAGCTTTGGCGCATGCACTCCAATCAGATAATGTCCGGTTAAATAGAACTCCCTCCAGTAACGAGAGATGTGACTTGTTTCAAGGGGCCTCCCTATTGCCGCCGCTTAATTTGTGGCCAGAAGGTTCTAGCCATCTTGCATATCAATGTTTTCACCCAGCATTCCCTAAGCTGAGTAAATCTCACAATTCCAGAAGTAAACAGTGCAGCCCCGACCCTTTCCTTCGTCGACAACAATTCTTCAAAAGCACCTTATATCTTCGGTCATACAACTGCCCACAATTTCGCTTTGGCTTGAAAACCCAAAAGCTTTATAGCAATGAAATTTGTTGGCATCGAGAGNGGTTTTCATCCAGCATTCCCTAAGCTGAGTAAATCTCACAATTCCAGAAGTAAACAACTTTTAGCCAGTGCAGCCCCGACCCTTTCCTTCGTCGACAAAAATTCTTCAAAAGCACCTTATATCTTCGGTCATACAACTGCCCACAATTTCGCTTTAGCTTGAAAACCCAAAAGCTTTATAGCAATGAAATTTGTTGGCATCGAGAGAGGTCAGTCCTGACCGTTTTCGAAGATACGATAAAACAGCCAGAGGCCCTAATTGCCGCCTAGCTATCTTGGAATGTATTACCATTGCACGCAATCCGAATGCGACTTCCCCTATTGCATCTAGCTCTGCTTGGAAAACATTACCCACACAGTAATCCGGGAGCCTAAATTTGAAGTTGTATAGTACATCTCCATCTATTTTTCCATCCAAATTCTATCGATCCGCTAAAAAATTCACATGCCTATTATTTCACGTACTTCATCTTATACAGTCCTCTTTAGATGATATGTGGGAAGTACAGGGTGTTTTAGCGCTTTCTTTGAAAAAGCGTTATGTCATTAGCATGGGCAGTCACTTTTCTCCAAAGTCTTCATCAGATCGTCGACCACAGNGGTACTTCATCTTATACAGTCCTCTTTAGATGATATGTGGGAAGTACAGGGTGTTTTAGCGCTTTCTTTGAAAAAGCGTTATGTCATTCGCATGGGCAGTCACTTTTCTCCAAAGTCTTCATCAGATCGTCGACCACAGTTGTGATAAGATGACTGCCTCTTATGGTGTATGATTCCTATAGAAACTAACTCAAGTTCTATGAAATCTAGATCCAGATCCAGATCCCCTAAAGCGATTAGGTACTGCAAAAATAACTAGTAGAAATGAAGAGGTGGCAAAATATATTTAACAATTCCTGTTCAGTGACACATTTCTACTTTATCGTGGCCTAAGGAAGCAATGAAATTAATTCGTTGCGCAATGGCTGACAAAAGGTCGAAATTCGGTTGAGAAAATCTTTCGATAGCTTTAGAAGAAAATCGAAGATTTTATAAAAGCTCTTATGAAATATTAAATACAAATAGATCGCTGAAGAAAAATTATAGTTATCAAATTACTGATGATAGACCGCAATCAAACGAGGAAATAATTTAACCATGATCCACTAGCGTCTCCTTAGGGTTTTATAAGTTGATCATCCCATATAGAGATATTTAACTAATTTTCCATACACTTATTATTCTATTCACAGTTTGAGGTCTAATTGCTCTAGCTTATTAAAATTATTTTTATTAATAATGCATACATAATTTCTTATACATTTTTTTTTAATAAAAGTTCATTTTAAATTTTAAGTACACCAAATTAAAAAATATATCAAAAACAAAAGTTAAAAACAACAAAACCAACAAAAATTTTTTTCTTTTTTCTTTTATTTTTTTCATTTCGATTTCGATTTACTTCCTAATTTCCTGAAACCATAAACACGCGCGCGCCCACGGCACTCATATACGTGCATATTATATGTATGCTTCGTTGGATGATGGTCTGCGAACAAAAAACAACTCTGCACGCACGCGCACTTTCATTTCATTCAATACATCAATACATGTACGCACTCACACACATACACACTTGCACAAACTTTTAAAAACTTTTGCTCACAATTTATAAATTTTATTTATACAAACAACACAAACAAAAAAACCAATCATAAATTTCCGTGAATCATAATCATGGACTGAATAAAATAAAATTCAATAAACAAAAACAAAATAAAATAAAAATAAAAAATAAAAATAAATTAAAAATAATTAATTAAATTAAAAAAATAAAATAAATTAAAATAAAACCAAAAAACTAATCAAATGTATTGAAAAAAATCGATTTATACTTTCTTATAATATTTTTACTTAATATTTTTCTTTGTTTGGAAAACGTGTGAACTTAAATCTTATTTGATTTTTTAATTAAATTTGTTTTCCACTTCAAATGAATTAATAATTTTTTTCAAACAATTTTTTACTTATTTTTCACTTTGAATTAATTGAAACAATTTATAAATTTTCAAAATAAATATCGAAAAATAATAATTTGTACTTTTATTTTCACTTTTTAATAATTCTTTTTTAAATAAAAAAAAATATCGACCTAAATAATAAATATTTTTTAATATGTCGACACGTTTAAATGTAAAAAATTGTGTTTCAAAACATAATATGCATTTTTTGAACCTTTTCTAAACAATCTACAAAAATAATTAATATGAATAAAATGTGATATTTAAAAAAAAAACATTTAAAAATAATTAATATTTTTTCTCATCACGTTTTCACTTTATTTAATTTGAAAAAATCTGTTAAATTTAAAATTTATTTTGCTTTCACTACTTGGAATTCGTTAATATTTGATTGTTAATTTTTTTGTTCCTTTTAAAACGAATTTCGTCCAAAATGCAATTGTGCTTAATGAACTGAAATATTTTTTGCTATTTATTGAACAAATTCCAAAAATAAATACAAAAAACAATAATTATGACATTGAAAAATGACTACCGTTTGCACATGCAACAAACAACAACAAATAACAAAATTCAATTTTAACACACGAAATTAATTGATGATTGTCATTGTGCTGACCATGTGTTATTAACGGACATTTTAAATTTTATTTTTGCTATTTTCGACCGCAAATCAACCATAAAATTACATTAATGACATAAATAAAAAATTAATTTAATAACTTATTATAAAAACGCGTACTTTTTACATGCGAAAAAAAAATGTTATTCAATCATAAATCCCAAAATTGACAACCAATATGGCATAAACAAATTCAACAAAACGACTATAAATCACTTGAACGCACAATCACACACTCTCACGCACCTACTATCACACTTACATACTTTTCCCTTACCTGCACCCTAAATCGCACACACCTGACTTTGACGACACAACAACAATAACCACAACAGCACCATCATTCGACCGCCAACATGCAGACGTCCGCTGCCGTTGTCGCCGCTGCAGCCGCAGCTGCTCAACAGCAGGCCGCCCAAGTTCAAGCCGTCCAGGGTACATCGCAAACGAATGCCGCCAATGCTGCCGCCGTTGCCGCTGCTGCTGCGCTCGCCATGGGTGCGAGCGCTGCTGGCGGCGGAGGGGGCGCTGGCGCTCATCATGCGCAGCATCATCATCATCATCAGCTGGAAGTGGGCAAGAAACGTGCCGCCGCGGACAATGACATGTTGCAACTGGTATTTGTTCTTCTTCTTCTTCACTTTGTGTTCTTTATTTTTCGTTGTTTTGTGTTTGTTTCGTTGTTTAAAATAGTTACTTATGTATTTGTTCGTACTACTGTGTTTGTGTTCATTTCTTTTGCGTTGTTTAATTGATTGATTTTCGAAGAAAAGCAAGTTTTACTGATATAATCAAAATTTACTTATTTAGTTAAAAGATTAAGAAATTGGAAAAAATATTTTTCACTTTTTAACTAGTTTTTATTGTTATTTTTTAACCAGAATTAAAATTATTTTGCTCTAACCAATTATTACACAATTTTTAAGCTAGTTTGCGCAATCTCGGTTAAATCTGACACCATTTATATTTCGTTAACATTTTTTATTTTATAGAAATTCTTAAAAACAAAGCTTCTTTAATGTGAAACACTTTCATTCCAAACTCAATTTTGCTTACATTTAATTTGCTGCCTGGTGTGTACACGGCATTATCTACAGACTTTCCAGCTATGCATGCTTTAACGCTTGTATTAAAAAAAAAATACGCAAAAAAAAAATAGAAGCAATTAGAGCTTTTTAGAACTCTGCTTGAAAGCTTGCCTTATACATGTCTACATACATATGCTAAATCAAGAATTATGAAGGATCTTCAGCTTCCAGAGCTTATAAAAATCTTTCAGGCGCGCAAAACTGAGCTTTCTAAATGTGTCCAAAGCTTTATCGCATTGTTGAAGAGTTTTTCTTATGGAAGCTACTGATTAAAACAAAAGTATATTTTAAACCTTATTACGGTGATAAATGTTATGTGATAAGCTTTTGCTGTTGATTAAAAAAGCATTGAAATAACTTGCGAGTTAAAATGTCTGCGAACTTCTTGGTGAAACATGAGTTCAATCAAATAAAAGCACCACGCACTTGTTTAATATGATAACTTATTCCGAAAACCGTGAGCTTTTATAAATTTTCACAAAACTTGCAAGTTATTGCAAGTTGCTAATATGGCAGCTTTTAATAATCTTAAATCGGAAGTTTCCGCACGCGAAAGCTCGGAAAAATTACGCGATTGCTTCAATTATAAGATTCACATAAACGGCGCATTTTGATTTCTTA